TGCGCCCGCCCGTGCACCTCCCGTGTCCATGGCCACGCACACCCCCTGACACTTACACGCGCGTGCACAAACCGTGCACCGCGGACCCAGGGCCCTGCAGTGCACGCCCCAGCAGCCGCTAAGTCACCATCGACTACTGTCCCCAACTCAGGCCAGCACCCATCCCAGACGCTGCCACGCCTCAGTACACACCCAGGCGCGCGAGAACGTGCGCGCGCGTTCACACACCACACACACACACACACACACACACACACACACACAGAGACGTGCACACACATACATAGATACCCAACACATCCCTGGGATATCTGCACTAACACAGCCCCCCTCGCCGGCCCGCACCATCTCTAACTCCCCATATGCTCATTACAGACACCCCACCCACGTTCCCAGCCCAGAGACGCTGCCATCCACCCACCCCTGGACGAAGCCCCAGCAGGAACCCCCACCCAGAGGCCGACACCACACTCCAGCTGGCTCCCCAGGCCTGCACCTTGTACACCCCCAACATGTGTGCACACCTGTGGGATTCTGGATCTTGGGCACCCTGGCCTGCCCCCATGGCACATAGCCCTCCACGTCCTCTAACACATCTCAGTCCCTCCCACCAAGCACGTTCCAACACCTGGCACACGGGTTCTGGAGGCTGCAGCATTTGGTGGCATCTCTGCCAGGCGCCTCTGGCTCACCTTTGCAGCAGTGGCTCGCCACCCTGAGGCCCCCCAGGTGGCTCCCTAAACAGGCCCTGAGTCTCCCCAGCGACTGACTTGGCCTGGTCCCTAAGAGATAAGAAAGGCACTGGGGGTGCAAGGTACCCTACTTAGATGGGGGAGGGCAAGGGAGAGGCAGGCAATTGAGATGGAGGCCACCCAGCTGAGGCCAAAGGGGCCCCAGGTGTTGGCACGCACGTAGTAGGTGGCTTTCCTGGAGGCAGGAGTCGGAGTGCCCGTGTGTGTGTGTGTGTGTGCCCGCCTTCCCATGCAGTGGGGGGCAGCGGGGGGGGGTAGGAACCACGTACGCACGTGTGCTTCTGCATGTCTGGGTGTGTGACCCGCTGAGGGAGAAAGCAGGACACCCCCCTGGGCTCCCTGGTGCAACAATTGGTTTCATTCATTCATGCCTTCTTTGTTCACGAGCATTTCTTCCGTGAGCGCCGCGTGCCAGGCCCTTCCCTGGGGGGCTGGGGCCAGCTCGGGGCCGGGCACACACCCGCTCCTGCCTTGGAGGAACTCCCAGTCCCGCCAGGAGGCCGACCCGGCAAAGCAGAAAGCCATCCCCAGCGGAAAGTGGATGTGGAGGAAAAGACACTGGATTTGGCCGAAGCGCTGTGGCTGGGAGTTCCAACCGGGCCAGACGGCCCAATTGCCGCCACCGGGCCGGCGGGACCCGAGTGTTTGGGGGTGGGGGCGGGCGTGTGGGGGGCAGGTGGGGAGCCGCTCTCAGGAGGCTCCCGGGCCCCAGGGGCGCACGGGCAGCGGCGTTTCCGCGGCCTCAGGGGCACTGCTTGAGCTGGGCGGAGGCCAGGGGCGCCCGGCAGGAGAGGGGGGCGGGCGGCGGGCGCAGGGCCCACCCTACGGGAAGCGTGTGCGGACGAGCTCCGCCCGCTTGAGGGGGCCTGGCGAGGCCCCTGCACGCCCCGCGAGCGTGCCTGGGGAGTGGGTGCGGGGCCCGGTGCACCCCCCCCAGACGGCTTTGCGGGGGGCCCCGGCGAGGGTCGGGGGAGGGGGGCTTGGCGGCGCTCAGCCCTGCACTGCGGAGGTGGCAACAGGTTCCAGGATGTCTTCCTGCTGTTGGCACAGCGGGTGCTGCTGGCGCTGGGCAGCGAGCACTTTAGTGATTGAACGCCCCCTCCCCCCGAAGGCTCACTCCCACGCGGCTGACCAGCAGGAATCTGGGCAAGGGGCAGACCTGCACGACCCCTGCCCAGGGGCAGAATTTGCCTCCCTGGCTTGATGCTGGTCCCCTCCCCCAGGGAGCCCTCTCCAGAAAACAGGCCTTGGCACCGCGGGAGCTCCTGCCTCCCGCGGGGTGGGCGACCCTCTCTCCAACCCCTTGAGACCACAGAACGGGGCAGGAGCCCAGGTGTGTCTCTCTCTACCTCCTGGCACAGGGCGCCCACCCCCACTCTGGCGACTTGGCCAAGCCAGACACACCAGGCTGGCACATCCCAGAACCCTGGGTACCTTCAACCCCGGCCCACTCTGGGGTCCTTCCCACAGCTGCAGCAGACCTGGAGGGAGCCCCCCAGGGCTGGTGGCTTCCCACCTCTGCCTGTGGGAACTTGGGATGTGAGAGAAACAAAATGCACACACAAAACACCCCCCCCCCAACTCGGCCCCAGCTCAGCTGGTAACCTCAGGGAACTGAGGTCTGGAGCACAGAGGAGGGAGACAGAAACCTGAGGGAGGGGGAGTGAAGAAGTAATCGAATCAGAACAGGCTGCAGAGGAGGCAGCCCAGGCTAGGGGCAAGGGGACCCAGGCCAGCTGCCCACGGCCCCTGGAGCCAGGTGATGGGACTCATCCCAGAGACCAAGACATGGTGGAGTGTGGCTGGAGACAAGTCCCAGCCTGGTGGCCCACTGGGCTGGGAAGGGAGGCAGGGTAGGAAGGGGCAATTAGAGGCCCCTCTGAGGCAACCTGGCTCTCTGTGACCTGCCCTCTCCCCAGCAATACCTCCTGCATGTCCCCATCCTACTTTGTGTTCTGATCAGTGACCCCCCAGCAGCTCTGCATCTCTCACTCCTTAGTCACCTCTCTCGTGGTGCCCACCCTTTGTGCGCACCACAGTCTACCTTTGTTTACTTAGTTCCTTGGGGGCAGAGTCCCAGTGTGGGGTTCTTCCCAACTCTGGGTGTATATTACCAAGTTAATTTCCAAAAGAGCCACACCAGCATACCTCTAGCAATCAACAACAGAGCAGCGTGCCCATCTCACAGCAGCCATCAGCACTGGGTGTTCTCAGTCTGAGAACATTTTACTAATGTAACAAGCAGGAAGTGTTACCTTGTTTTCTGTCATTGTTAGGTGGGCTTTTAAATTTGTTTTCCTTCCCATGCCTGAAGTTGTACCTTTCTCTAAATGCCTTGTACCAGCTGCATGTGCTCCTTCATGCAGTCTTTTCTGGTTCCTTGCCATGTACCCATAGGAGTCTCAACCTTTTGATTAATTTGTATGAGCTTTCTCTTATCTGCTGTACACCTTCCTTCAACTGGCCTATTTGCTTTAGGGCTTTAAGCAAAAAAAAAAAAAAAAAAAGGACATAGACCAGACTTTTCAGAAGCTCCGCCATCTCATTTCATTGTCAGCATTTATCACACCTGGTATTCTCTCGTTCCATCCCTCGGTTTATTACTGACCTGTCCTGCTGGCCTGGGAGTGCCTTGCATCAAGGGCCCAAATGTGTCCTGTCAGTTCATTGTCCTGTGTCCACAGAAGGTTCTGGAGGCTACCATGGGGCCTTTACTGCAGGGCAGGGCTGAAGGGAGTTGAGGCAAACAGGCCTGGATATGGGGAGAGGGCTTTGAAAGCTCTGATGGTGACCTGGGCCAGCACAGGGGTGGAGGGGACAGTACAGAAGTGAGAGACATTTAGGCAGAAACGCCTTGACTCTTGACTAGGAAGGAAGCAGCCCGAGGAGCCAGGCTGACTCCCAGGATCAATAGGGCAGGGCTCTTGGAGTCGTTGGCCTGGCTCATGCCAATAAAGCTACTGGGGTGCCCCGAAGCTGCCCTTTGCCTACCCAGCCTTCCAGCTAGCCCTTGGGCCGAGTTCTGGCCAGAAGGCAGCAGTGGATTTGTGGTTCCACTTCCTTTTCCCCTCCACCATTTCCCTGGCAGCCGTGGTGACAAGCCTGTTATATGGATGAAGCCACTAAACTCCAGTCCCAGGACGAGGTGGTCCAGGGGCACCCCAAGTGAGCCTGGCTGGAGGTGGGGCGGGGGCACAGGGCTCTTGTCCACACCCCTCCCCCTGTCTCCAGGGGCCTGGCTGGCGCCGGCCAGGGGAGCTGCAGCTGGTCCCCTGCTGGGCCCCTGACCTGCCCTTGGCCTCTGCCCCTGGCCCTGTCCCGCTTGGGTGGAAGCCCCAGCCCAGCGCGCCACTTGCGGGGGCCCACTCACCGGCTTTCGAGGGCACCCGTTGGCTCGCTGGCCCCCCTGAGCCCGCCCCCGCCGCCCCGCCCCTCCAAAGGCAACTCCACGTCCAAAGGCAGCTGGCTTCCAAGGTGGGAAGCTGGGTCGCAGTGCCAGGAAGCTGCGGGTGCGCGCGGGCGGCGGTGGACTTGTCTCCACGTGCGGCACGCTCCTTCTGCCATCCTTCCCTCTTCCCAGTGGCCGGGGCCGGGGCAACCCAGCCCGGGAACGACCCCCCTCGAGCCGCGGTGGCTGTGTCCGGGACATCCGCGAGCGACCCCTCGCCGCGGGATCACGCTCCAGGTCTCTCCTTTTGTTTTCTCCGGGTGGAGTCAGGCAGCACCGAGAGGTCCCCCCTGCCGAGGGCCAGAGCCTGTGCACCGACTCTATCTCCCAGGCCCTGGGGGGCAGTGGGGACGATCTCGGTCTAGAGCCCCTCTCCCCCCCACTCCCTCCCCTCACCCCGCGCGCACGCGGGTCCCCCAGTAGGAAGCTGGAAAGCGGGGAGTGATTGCGGGCGTGCGAGACGCAGGAAGGGGCCTGAGCCCCTCTGAGGGGCCAGGAGGGACCCTAGCGGCTCTCAAAGGGGGCCGTCGGACACCCAGCCTTCCTCGGCTGGGGCACCTTTCGAATTTCCCTTCTCCGGTGGACACTTGAGTGGCTGCCTGGGGCGTTTTTCTTGGGGCGCACGGGGGTGCCTTTGGGCATGCTGTGGGAGAGGCAGGAGAAGAAGATCCGGCGATAGAGGGGCTCCCCTGCGGGATCCCAGGCGCCTTGTTTCTGGGCACGCAGATCGCGGGCTCATGTCTCGTGCCTTCCCTCTCTCCGCAGCTCCGGAAGCCCGACGTGCCGGGAGCCGCGAAGCCATGGAGGGTCTGGGCCGCTCGTGCCTGTGGCTGCGCCGGGAGCTCTCGCCCCCGCGCCCGCGGCTGCTGCTGCTCGACTGCCGCAGCCGTGAGCTCTACGAGTCGGCGCGCATCGGTGGGGCGCTGAGCGTGGCCCTGCCCGCGCTGCTGCTGCGCCGCCTGCGGCGGGGGAGTCTGTCGGTGCGAGCACTCCTGCCTGGGCCGCCGCTGCAGCCACCGCCGCCCGCCCCGGTGCTCCTGTACGACCAGGGCGGGGGCCGGCACCGGCGCACCGAGGCCGAGGCTGAGGAGTGGGAGGCCGACTCGGTGCTGGGCACTCTGCTGCAGAAGCTTCGGGAGGAAGGCTACCTGGCCTACTACCTACAGGGTAGGTACTGGTGGTGGGCAGCTGGCGGGCACCCGTCTGGGGAGGACCCCTGCCTGGGGAGTGCAGGACCCCACCTTCGGAGGGCCAGCCGAATCCATCTGATCATGGGCGAGCCCGACCTCCTGTGGTCCAAAGTAGAGATGAGAGTCTGTCCTCCTCTGAGCCTGACCTTGGGGAAGCCCTTCACTCTTGGGAGCCCCAGTTTCTGAGCCTGGAAAATGGGGAGAATCTGATATGACCTGGCTCCTGGGACCCCAGTGGATCCCTATCGCCCCCTCCCCTAGCTTCTAAGCCATGGGTAAAGGAGGCTGGAGCCCCAGGACAAATGCCCCCTGCTCACTGAAGGGCTTGGAAGGGGGAGGGGAAGACAGGGAGAAAAACCGCTAAGGCAGAGACTTCCCGTCCCCCTGCCACGGTCAGCACAGGGCTGGGGGTCAGAGAGGCGATGGACAGACACAGGCGTGTTGGCTCCTTGCCAAGCCAAACACACCCCCCGCCCCAGAGATCCAGGAGAGAGACAGGATTTCCAGGAACCTAGACCCCTCTCCCCATTGAGGAGGGTCATTGTACTGTCATCCCTTGCTCAATTCTGAATGCACAAGGATATAGAAATATAGAACATGTTGGATTTCTAGTGCCGCCCCCCCCCAGCCGGGGGGAAATAGTAGTTATTTGGAGATGGAGATGTTCCCTTCTTGGCACTTTGGGACCATTCAGGTGGCACGCTGCACTCTCGCCCGTGCTCTGAAGAGCACAGAGACGTGGCTGTGCCCTGGCCCCTGATCTCACCCAGGCAGACAACTCACATCTGAACCTTTCCTTGTCTTTAACTGATGCCCGCTGTCCTTCCCAAGGCTGGCACTATGTGTTGAGCCGTCACGCCTGCCTTGGCTTGGCCCCAGGGATGTGAGATCCTCTTTGGCTTGCCGTCCAGAGGACCGGCTCCAGGGCTAAGCACACCATTTGGGACACCGTGTAGGTCAAGGCTGCTCACTCCTGAGTGCCCCTTGGGTACATCTGCCCACCCCCCTCTTCAGGCATCAGAAGGATCTAGGATTGGATCCCTAACCCCAGCCAGGGCACTCAGCTGCCTGGGAGGCCACCTCAATGGGCTCCCCGTCTCGTCCCCTCTCCCAGGTGGCTTCAGCAGATTCCAGGTCGAGTGCCCTCACCTCTGTGAGACCAGCCTCGACCGCCGGGGGGGCCCGAGCATGGCCCCACTGCCCAGCCCAGTGGTGGGGCTGGGGGGCCTGTGCCTGGGCTCCGACTGCTCTGATGCGGATTCCGAGCCTGACCGTGATGCAATGAGCTTCGGCCTGGATTCGGAGGGTGCCACGCCCCCCCCAGCAGGGCTGCTGCCGTCCTTCCCTGTCCAGATCCTGCCCAACCTCTACCTGGGCAGTGCCCGCGATTCGGCCAACGTGGAGAGCTTGGCCAAGCTGGGCATCCGCTACATCCTTAATGTCACCCCCAACCTCCCCAACCTCTTCGAGAAGAATGGCGACTTTCACTACAAGCAGATCCCCATTTCAGACCACTGGAGCCAGAACTTGTCCCAGTTCTTTCCGGAGGCCATTGCGTTCATCGGTGAGTCCACTCCGCCCTCCCCAATCCCTCCCCAGCCCCCACAGGCCTGCCTCCCCCCAGGGCCCAGCCCAGGATGGCCCTGCTGGGGCCGGGCGGCTCCAAGGATGTGATCCCCACGATGGGCCATCTCACACGGGGCCCCCATCTGCCCCCACTAGACGAGGCCTTGTCGCAGAACTGCGGGGTGCTCGTTCACTGTCTGGCGGGCGTCAGCCGGTCCGTCACCGTCACCGTGGCCTACCTCATGCAGAAGCTGCACCTCTCGCTCAATGACGCCTACGATCTGGTCAAGAGGAAGAAGTCCAACATCTCGCCCAACTTCAGCTTCATGGGGCAGCTGCTGGACTTCGAGCGCAGCCTGCAGCTGGAAGAGCGCCGTGCCCAGGAGAGGGGCAGTGGAGGGCAGGAGTCGGCTGCCTCTGATCCCCCCTCTTTCTTCACCACCCCGACCAGTGATGGCGTCTTCGAGCTGGACGCCACATAGGGCCCCAGGGCGCCCTCCAGCGGGTGTGCCCAGCCCAGCCACCCGCGTGCTGGGGAGGAGGCCAGAGGGGGCTTGGCCTAAGCAGAAGTGGGGGGTGGAGGGGGGGAGAGCACAATACCTCATTTGGGGCTGTGGGACGAGGCAGAGGCTGGGGACCCCCTCCAGGGTGGTGGTGGGGACAGCCCTGTCTTACCCACTGGAAACATCCACGGGGAATCCTATTAAACGTGCCTACGGGCCAGGCCTGGGGCCACCGGCCTGACCCGCGCCACTTTGGGGCGGAACCCCGCTCCAGAACCTGCCTGTTCTACGACTGTTACTTTTCTTTTGGGGGGGTGGTTGGGAGTGGGGGTGTGGATTCCCATTCTGAGGGATGATTCCAGGTGGCTGCCGGTTCCCTGGGCCCAGGAGATGTGTGCTCAGCCAACTCCCAAGCCTCCCCGGGGTCTCCCATTCAGGAAGGGCGTGGGCCTCTTATGGCCACAGGGACCTGCTCCCAGCCCCATCCCTGTTGCCATGCGGCTAGACCACCATCACCACCAGCATAGTCACCCCGTGCTCCTCCACAGGGGCCTGAGGCCTCCTGGGATGGGGGGGCGGGGTGGGGGGACTCCCAGGGGACATGACCTTGGAGACACAGCAGCCACCCCACAGCCACAGGGACCGTCCCTGTCTGGGTGTGCTCCTAGCCAGGAGCCACTGGGCGGGTTCCCAGCTGCACATCTGGCGCCCTGACTGTTTATCCACTTGACATTTGAAAAGATGCTTTTTTTTCCTCTTCCCCCAGATGTCTTGACAGGATCACTGGGGCTCTTTGTGACTGAGGGTGGTCAGACTGCCGCCGGAGGAGATGGGGTCTAAGCAAGAGCTGGGTGGGGGAGGGGGAGAAGACAGCCTGGAATTTGCTGCTGTGGGTCCCATGCGGCCTTGGTTGGATTGGAGGGTGGGGAAAAGGCCAAGCTTCACACACACACACACACACACACACACACGGTCATTCATTGCAGTACATCTCCCTGACAGGCAGCCTGTGTGCATGTGTGTCTGTGTGTCCATGTATCAGCACTCGCACACACACACCCTCCTGGCTTACAGACCTAGCCCAGGACCAGCAGTCTCCGTGGCAAGGCCATCTCACCCTGGGGAATCCACAGCACGGTTGCTTTCTTTAATTATTCCTCAATAAATGGTTTCTATTGAGATCCTGAGCATCTTGGAGAGTTTTGGGGGGGAAGGTGGGGTGGGAGGCCTGAGGAAGGAGGTGCACTCGAACACCACACCCTATCACCACTGTCATGTGCCATCCGGCGTCCACACTGCCCAGCCTCTGACTGAACCCCTCCTGCACTCACAAGCCACTGAACTCCAACTCTGTGCCCCGTGGCTTGGGACTAAGACGCAGGCTGCAGACTAGCATGCAGCTGCAAGTCAGAGGCCTCCTGCTCAAGGTCAGCTTCCCAGAGTGGGAGGGAGGCACTGAGATCTGGTGATGCAGCAAATGATGTCAGGTCCCCAGGGTGGCAAACAGACGGGGGGAGCAGGGACCCAGGTGTGACTGTGAGGGGTGGGTACTTGAGCCCCGAGACTCAGCATGGAGTCAAACCCAAGCCCCAGGACAAGGAGATGGAGCCACAGGAGGACCCAAGCTGGTGAGGGACGTGGGAAGACTGCCCGTCCTGGCGTGCAGCCCTCTGGCTGACATAGGGTGGAGTTGGGACTCTGAAGGCCGGGGCTGGGGGCTGGGAGAAGCATGCAGAGGCCACTGGGTCACTTGAAGTGACAGCAGGACCTTGGCTCCTCTCTGACCTCCTCCAGGGCCTTCTGCACACTGGAGCTGGAGCAGCCATTCTAAAGCCACAATTCCTGGTGACAGAGACACAGCAGGAAGTAGCAGGGAGCTGGAGCGGGGGCAGAAACAAGCACGGTGTGAGAAGGCACTGGAGACTTTGTGAACAACGTGACCCGCATTTCCAGAGCCACCCTCCTGGTCCAGAACCTCTAAAACAGAATGAACCTAAAAATCTGCGTGAATGGCTGAGCTGGTAGGGAAATAAAAGAAAGCCTCCAAGATCAGGAATGATGAGGATACTTGAGTCCAGAGAAGTGAGTCAGCTCTGGGGCCAGCACCTGACCCAGGGGCATCTACACCCAGGAGCCAGAGCCCATCCTTTCTCCTGGGACACCTTCTTTCCATGGCTTTCCAGACACCAATCATAGGATAGGAGATACCGCCTGGGCCCACACATAAAGCCAGGATTTTTGAAGGGTGGTGCTGTGCTCTCAACAGGTGTCTTCAGCACTGTATCCTGCCCCCCACCAGAAGATGGCCTCATGGGAATCCTGGAATCCTGTGCATATGGCAAAAAGGGACTCTACAGATGTGATTAAGTCATGGATCTTGAGATGGGGAGATTGTCCTGGGTTACCCAGGTGGGCCCTAAATGCCATTATTGGCATCTTTATAAGGGAAAGAGGGTGGCAGGGGAGATGAGATGTGATGACAGAAAAGGGGTCAGAGTCAGAGAGATTCGAAGATATGACACTGCTGGCTTTGAAGAAAGATGAAGGGGCCCCCAGCCAAGGAGTGTGGGTGGTCTCTAGAAGGTGGAAAAGGCAAGACAACTGATTCTTTCCTTGAGACTCTTAAAAGAATGCAGCCCTGCCCACACCTCAATTTTAGCTCAGTGAAATCTATGCTGGATTTCTGACCTCCCCCCTTTTAGAAGTAAAATCTCCAAAGGTTCATGGGGAATCTTGGTTCCCAACCAGAAACTTGATTTCCCATCCTCCCTTGTAGCTAGTTATGGCCAAGTCCTTCCATGATGTCTGCTTCTCCATCAAAGCCCTTAGCATATTAATCATAGTATTTGAAATGACTGTTCTGGTAATTCCAACATCCCTGCCATATCTGAGTCTGGTTCTGATGCTTGCTCTGTCTCTTCAAACTGTGGAGGGTTTTGCCCATTAGTGTGCCTTGCAATTTTTGGTTGAAAGCCAGGCACGATATACTGGGTAAAGGAGCTGCAGTAAGGAGGTCATTACTTACTAGTGGTGAAGTATGGTGGGAGTGGAAGTGTTCTGTAGTCCAATGGTTAGCTCTCAGTCTTTTGGTGAGCCTGTGCTTCTGGGTTGTGACCTTCGCAAGTGCTTATCAGTTCCCCCCTCTCCAAGGTGGGCTAGGATAGCTATAGGGGGCTGAAGTTGGATATTTCCCTTCCCCCAAGTCCCTTAGACTCTAATAAATGCCCAATAGGTCAGACTCTGGTATAATGGTTTGTCTTCAGAGCAGGCTTTGTTAAGAACAGAATGCTCTGGTGTATTTCAAAGTGTCAACCATCCCCCCTCGCACCCCCCGCCAGAAACATGAGGATATTGTTCTCCAGTCTTCACTGTGAGAACCTGATGGGACTCCTAGAGGTAAAACTCACAGAAGTGTAGGAGGTGAGAGCCTCCCTAAGAATAGGCTCCCTGCAGTTTTTAACTCTCATACTTCTCCACACTAGCCTCCAGCAAATCATTAGTTAAAGTTCAGGTTTTCCTACCCCAACACTGTACCCACTCACAAGTTTCTGCTCTGGTAAATTGTGATTTTCTGTATCCACCTGTCTGTTTCTTCAGTTGTGTGAGCAATACTTTGCCATTTGACCCCTGTTCTCTAATGGATCTAAAAACAGTTGTTGGTTTTTCAGTTTGTTCAACATTTTCTTGTTGTTGGCATCAAGTGATGACTTCCAGGCTTCTCACATGCCAGATCAGAGACTGGAAATTCCCTGGGTCTGTTTTGATTGTCTGATTCTTTGTCATTACAGGGTACATTTTTATGCTTCCACTCTCTCAGTTAGAAAGTCTTGGTGGTGGAGTTCACCTCATTTGTTTCCTTTCTCTCTGGTACCACCAGGTCTTCACCATCTTAAAACGGTTGCTTCATATATCTGCCAAGTTTTCCAGTCATGTATGGAGGAAGGGAAATTCTGAACCATGTTATTCCTTCATGGCCATATCAGTATTAACGTTAAGCTTTGTTAAGACAAATATGCATGCTAGGTTTTCTAGACTAATTACTAAAAGAATATAAATAGAGTATACTACTTTCAAACTAGTAGAGGAAAATATCAAATAACAAGGAGAAAAATCTCAATTCAGAAGAAGTAAAAAGAGGAAAATAAAGAAATAGAAACATTGGAATAAGTAGAAAGCATAAAATAAGAATTTAGAAATTAGGCCAAACATCACTAGAAAAAATCGACTAAATTATTCAACTGAAGACAAGATTTTTAAAAATCCACCCATAAGCGGTTTGTAGTAGAGACTCCATACTTCCACTGCAGGGGGCATGGGCTCAATATCCTGGATGGGTAACTAAGATCCCACACGCCATGCAGCCCAGCCAAAAAAAAAGAATACACAAAAATAAAAATTTTAAAAGTGGTACAGCTAAATGATAGGACAGAAAAGGAAAAGATTGAAAAGTCAGGACTTCTAGCTATGGCCAAACAAAGATATCAACAAATAACCTCAAAAAAAAAAGCAATAAAGCTGGACAAAGCTGACAAATACAGCCTTTATGATCTAGAACTCAACCAAAGGTATATAATAAAATGAGAAGTTAAACTTTGGGAATCTGTGGCATTCTGGCCTAGAGCTGCTCCCACCCTTCCGAGCTCAGTTTGGCATGGAGGTTCTACCAGTACAAGGCAGCTCATGAAAACCAGCTGCTTCTCTGCCTAGGTTTGAAGGGGGCTAAGTCAATTTGGTGGGGAATATCCACACCCAGGGGCATTGTTAATGGAAATAAACTTCTCAGGGGCAGACCAACAGGAAAGGGCCAACAGCTCAGCTCTACTAGACAGGCTGTGAATGTGGTTGGGGCAAGCATGTTCCTGACTAGTTGGAGAATGGAGAGGTCCCAATCTAATCAGGCTTTCCTGACTACACTGAGGCTATACACATGTATGTAGGAGATTCAAAGGCATCAGGGGAAAGAAAACCCTGGGAAGGCC